TCGCATTGAAGCCTTAATAGAAGTCAAATTTTTTTGCTACACCCTCATGAAGAGGTAACTAGAGATTGGTGAAGGATTTACTGCCATTGTCTACATTGCTTTTCTTTCGAACAGAAGTATGAGCTCTTGTTGTATTACGCTTCTTTGAATTTGCTCTAGGTAAGGGACTACTCGCACCCCATTTCCTGCTTGGGATTTTAGATTGACCTTTCCTCATGCCCTTTGGATTTGTTGTAGCTATTCTTGGTTCCTCTTGTCTTCCTCCTAACCTCACTCCTAGTGGTAGCTTTTGATTTGGGAGTTTGTGCAGGTCCGACAAATCTGGGATTGTTGCCTCTGAATCTTGAGAAGCTCTTGTATGCTCTTGTTCTTGCCGTTGATGTTCTTTCAGAAGAAGGGGTAGGTTGGTCCTATTGAGGATAAAATTTCTGTTACGGCTAGTCTTCGGATTATGTGGAAGAGAAATTCTCTCTATAGCTGGGCTCTTAGCATTTGACCTTGTGCTAGTAGAGCCTTCTTGTTCCTCACCATCTTGTTGTTCGATCCTTTCCAAAATAGGTCATCGAACTAGCACTTTGGAAGTTCTCGAGCCTTCATGGGCTGAAAGTTGTTGCTCACCTTGCTCATATTTTTTTTTCGGTAGTGTGTTGCGTCATAACTCTTCTAAGAGACTTATCACTAGCAATGAGCTCCATATTGGAGTAATGTTTATCCTCAAAAAGAGGTAATAAGTTGCTTAGTTGTTTAGAATCCCTCGTTGGAATATCAAAAACAAAGTAGTCTCCTCTGCCTTCTTTCTCTCGAAACTGATGTTCTTTACGGTCTCATACTACTCTGTAGTCATTATGATATCTTTATCACTCAGTAAAGGCACGTTCTCTCCTAGGGTGGTATTGAGGTGAGCTTTTGTCTATGGAATGATCATTCCTATGTTCTCTATTTGGCTCTGCAGTAGCATACCTATGAAGTTTACGACTTGCGTTCACTCCACGATACTTCAGGGGAGGACTTATTTGCATTGGTCTTAATGGAGATTGGCTTTGAGGCCTCTTAATCTGATACTGACGGTCTTTTTGTTGTTTCACCCCCTCACTAATCCCAGGCAATCTCCTGGTTCCTCCTTTTTTCATCTTCCTCAAGTCGGAGAACAGTCTTTTGTTGGTTAATCCCAAGCTTGACAGAACCCGCTACCTGGCTTTTTCTTTTCTTTGGGTAGTCTGTGTCCTCATGTGTGAGTGAATAATAAATGAAGCAGTGTTTCTCCAACCTTTCGTAGTCGAACTCCACTGGATTCTGCTCTCCAGGTTTTAGTTGCACTGACTTTTTCATACTCAATGGTTTGGACGCATCAAGTTGGACTTGTACACGTCCCTCCATGGTTTCTTAAGCGAGATAAGTTCCCATTCCACTTTGTATTGCCTTGAGGTTGTTAAAGGTCCAAAACTTTGTTGGTAAATCGTTTATCTTTATCCAAAGAGGAATCGAGCACGGGAACGATATTGTTGTGGATGGCTCCCACTTCTGCAGAACTAGCATCCACCGTTTATAGTACTGCTTGCATGTCGTCCTCTGTCTGGAAACAAAATTGGAATCGTTCTCTGCCTAGAAATTTTCTTTTATTCTTCCCACAAGGCCCCATATCTGAGGCAAAAAGCTTAGTACCACCGTCGGGGTTTGTGTCTCCGGATGTAGAACTCTTCCTATAAGCGTTAGGCGGTTCTCTTCAATAAACTCTTCATTCTCCAGATCTGGTAAGATGATTGGCGGTTCTCGTATCCACGTTGATGCTCCTGCAACTGCTTTCCATTTCTATGCTCTAGCGTACCGGTGGCTAGGCATCTTCGTGTGCCTAGCGTTTATTCGTAGCTAAACGTAACGAGTCGGGAGTTGTAAAGAAGATCCTAAAACTCGTTGAAAACTGTTTTCAACGGCTATAAAACAACTGCATGCTGCAGTAAGGAGAACGGAAGTATCAAAAACAAAGCAAAAACTAAAGAAGCTAAGACACTACGAGATTAAGGTGCATATCGAGAGGCGGCTGCAAATCCTATAAATCGCCGTTAGAGTTAAACCCTAACATTTTTTTTTTGAAGTCCCATTTATTTGCATCAAAATAAAGCATTTTTAAATTATGAATGTGTAGGTAAGTGTCTAAATTTCAGGACAAACATAAATTAGTTGAGTCTAAGCAAAAAATCGTTGAATTGGAGTTAAACCGAATGGTATAAGGTTTATTCAAAGTTTAAAACCCTAAAAAAAGGGAAAAAGGTCAAAATAACCCTCAAGTTTGACTAATTGGCCAAAAAAACCCTCCAAATTTGTGAAGCACCAAATAAATAATTGTAATCTGAAAAACCAGCGATGAGAAATTTATTCTCCAAAGCCCCAGCAATTAAAACAAGTTATTTTTTGTTTTTTTTTTAATTGAAAACCTGACTAAAGACCAATCCATCCTTAATGAATAGAATATATTACATGACCCAACCGCATAATCCTACCCAAACCAGATCCATCCGGATCATAAAACAAAATTTTAAAAAAACGATCCCATAAACAAAAAATCAGTTTCTCGTTTTCTTCTTCCCCATCTCTTTTCTCCTTCTCGAAAGCGATTCCGACGATTTCGCCTGCTCCGGTTCTGCTCCATCTTCACCTCATCTCTGCACCGTTTCCGCACCATCTCTGCACCATCGTCGTACTGTATCGTCTTCCGCACCATCTCTGAACTTGAAGGTTAGCCCTAAAATCCCTAAATCTCATCTCTTCATTTTTGGAAAGGAGGTTTTGCTTCAACGAGGTATAGGGTGGCGAGAAAGAGTCTGAATTTCATAGGGATTTTGATTGGATTCATTTGATTTCAACTGTAAGTATGTCGGATTTGTTAAGATTTTGTTTGTTTGAAATTGGGGTTTATTAGATATCCGATTTTGAAAATTAAGGATTTTGGTTGAGATGTGCCGGATTTTGATATGAATTCGAGATGTATGAGTTCGGGTTTGAAACTAGGGTTTTTGGTTTTGATATGAATTGGGAAAAGATGATGGTCCAAAGATAGTTTTGGATGGTTTTGTGGATAATCCTGGTTTTGTGTCTGTTTTGATTGGATTTGGGATTTGTTCGTTGTTGTGGATTTTGCAGAAATGGGTCCTAAGACCATGGGAGGAATTTCGAGGAGGAAAAGAACTTCAAAGGAAAAGGGAAGTTCCAAGGAAGGGATTTCAAAAGAAAGGAATTCAAAGAAAAATTGAAGTTCCAAGGAAGGGACTTCATGGACTTCAAAGGATCCGACTTCAAAAGCGTCAAGTAGTAGGGATCCAACTGTAGTAGCTCTTGCTCAATCTGAAATTG